AAGGCTCCGGCCGCGCCGACCGCGCCGGCTGTGACCTCGTCCGGCGCGCTTGCGGCCAATTCGCGTGACGCCCTGCTTGCTGCAATCAAGAACCCGTCCGCCCTTCATCATGTGGTACGCCTCGGCGTGTGTGTGTTGTGTGCCCGCACCGCCGCTCACGCGCGAGACTGGATTTCAGGAATCTAATAAGTCGAAGGAGGAGAAGAACGACGTCGCCGCCGACGACGGCAATGTGCTCAACATCATCGCCCGGGCGCTGCTTGCGAGGCGGGCAGCCATCAAGGACGAAGACGAAAACGAAGACGAGGAGCTCTGGGAGTAGAGACCGCTGTCTGTATGTGCAAAACAAACAAGTCACTCTTTCTTTGCACCCATGAAAACAAAAAGAAGGGCCAGGAGGAGAGTCGAACTCCCAACCTCCGCGATTCAGCTGCGGCGCTCTGCCAGTTAAGCTACCCAGGTCCTCCCGCTTACCTGAGGAGATTGTGCCGCACATCGTTCGCTGATTGCCAACATGATTTTTTTTTGCATCTATCTATTTTAATTTGAATTAAAAAAAACTTGGTCAATAAAATAGGATGGAGCCAGATGGAGTGCTTCACGAGATGTGGGAATCCCTGGAGCAGGTCATCGCGGCAATTGCAGGGACGGATGAGGGATCGGCGACGAATGAGCAGGAGGCGATGGTGGTAGGGCACGAGGGCCTGTGGCTGCTCGGTCTCTGCATCTTTGATTTCGCGATCGGGGGCCTGGCTGCCGCTCTTTGCCTCCTCTCATCCTTGACCACCTCCCCCGCTTCACAACAACCGCCCAATCAGCACGCTGCCCGCCCCGTGCTGCCCAGCCGATCGCCAGCCGATGCTACAAATCTTGCGGATACCACGACATCCTCACCATCAGATGGCTCGACTGAGAGCGGCACCACGCAATCCTCCGCTACTTCTCCATCTTCTTCTTCTTCTTTCCCGCCCTCATCTTCAGCGAGTAGCGCCAGACGACGAACGAGCTACATCCATCCTCTGCAGATTGTCGAAGACTTTCGGGACCGTTGGAGGACACGCTGGCGACACCAGCAGTACTTTGTACGTCGACTACTCCCGTGCCACCATGCCTAATGCGCCGCACACGCACACGCACACGCACACGCACACGCACACGCACACGCACACGCACACGCACACGCACACGCACACGCACACGCACACGCACACGCACACGTGTGGAGGTGCTAACGCCCGCGCGCATCACACCAGGAAGTGGTCACGTACCACAACGGGGAGCAGTACGAGGTGAAGAACTTCCGACCGGTGAAGAACGCTTTCGTCCAGCAGCGGCCGGGGCGCATGGAGCACGAGATCTCCGTGTCTGACTACAAGCGGTGCGCCTCCGCTCTCTTCTTCATCATCATCTTCTTCTTCATCATCGTTTCTATGACGACAACCACTCGCCGCTCAATTGACGTACGTTCTCGATGGGTGGTGCAGACACTGCGAGATGGCCAAGAAGATTGTGGGCTACGAGTCGCTCAACGACTTCAAGATCAAGAACCCGTCCGTGGTCTACCGCAACTACTTCAGGCTACGCGGCGCGAGCGACGGTACGCCACCCCGCTTCAGTGAGTGCCATCACCACACAGCCCCTCTTTGCTAATATCGATCCACCTTCAACGATCACAGATGCTGCATCAACAAAGCCCGCAAAGACAAAGAAGACACACCACAAGCATTCATCGGTACAAAGGCTGGCGCGTGCGTGTCGTGCGTGTCGTGCGTGTCGTGCTGTGTTGTGTGCTGAATGCTGATTGTTCGCCTACAACACTGCAGCCAGAGAGTTCGCCACACGACGGCACGATGGAGCTGCAGAGCGGCCCCAAGCGATGCATGCTGTCGTGCACCTTGTGCGGCCGCAACTTTGATTATGTCTCCCGCTACCTCGTCACTCCGCAACCTGCCTCCTCGCACAGCTCTGATCTAGTCGATGGTGTGGCACACCACATGAAATCCAATTAGTTCATCACTTCAACGCAACTTAAGTGTATCCAATGGAGGTCCTTCATGACCGCCACCTGTATGAGAGCTGCCCTCTCTTTTCTTTTGAGATTGAAAACAAAAAAGACTTATTGAAACAAAATCTCTCCTCCGCAGAGAATGACGTCCACGTTGGAGCGGTTGATGGGAGGGTTCCACGAGATGCAAGTGGAGCGGGTGCTGCGAGAGAGCCACGAGTACGGCGATCTCGTTGTGCTGGCACGGCTGCCGGGTGCGCCCACCGCCGGCAGCAGCAATCAGAATGAAGATGAACACAGGGCGGTGGTGGTCTTCAAATCCCACGAGACTCTCCTGCAGCTGCGACATGTCGCCTCCATCCTACGGCCTTCGACTGTGCTCGATCCCCTATCGCACAACGACGTGTACGCCCTACTTTATTCTTTACTCTTTTATCTTATTTTATTTTATTTGTTAATCTAACTGTTTTTTAAGGTATTTTTTCTTCACGGCTAACGTGGACGGTCTCGGGCCCGTGTGGACGAAGTGTGTGCATCCGGCGCCTGAGAAAGAGATCCAATACGTACTGGCCCGCACACGACCGCACACGACCGCACACGACGCACACGCACACGCAAGGGCCCCAACTAACGGCGCCTTGTGTAGTGGCTCTCCCAGGAGCAGAGGGCGGTGCGAGAGACGCCGGAGCAGTACGCCAACATCGTCTTACCCTACATCCGCGCAATCCCTCCAGGTACGATGTTGCGCGTGTGCGCGTGCGCCTGCGTGAGGGTGTGCGTGTGCGCTCGTCATGTGAGTGCTCACATCGTGTGCGGTGCGACGTGTGTAGAGCGCAACGCATGGATAGAGAACATCTTCGCCAAGACCTCCGAATCGGACAAGACCTTCTTTGAGAACGAACACTTTGTGCTGATGAACGACGCCAAGTGGGACGGACAGAACGTCCGCCAACTCCACTGCCTGGGTTCGTCGCGTACCGCACACGCGGCACCACACCCAGCGCACACTCCTCTCCTAGTGAGGCCACACTCACGCTTCCCCCCCCCGGTGTGGTGTTGCGTGCGTAGCGGTGGTGCGACGAAAGGACCTCTACACCATGCGCGACTTGCGCAAGGAGGACGTGCCGCTCCTACGCAACATCATCGACGCTGGCGCGGAGGCCATCGAAAGCACCTACCACCTCAAGAGGTGCTCTCTACTTCCCCCCCCCCCTATTTTCTTTCGCGCACTCACACCCGTTTCGAGCAGGGACCAGCTAAAGATCTTTGTGCACCACTTGCCTTCGTTCTTCCACCTGCACATCCACTTCTGTTCGATCTACGCCGACCCGCGCCAGAGCCAGGCCACGCGAGCCCACCTGGTGGAGGACATCATCGAGGCGCTCGAGCGCGACACAGACCACTTTGCGGCCAAGGCCTCCATTACCTATATCTTAGGCGAAAACCATCCGCTGTACAAGGCGCTCTCTAAATGAACCGCACACACGTGTGCGGTGTGTGCATAACTAAAATACTTGAGTGGTAAAAGAATAAAATACTG